AGCAGCAGTTATGGAAGAATCTACAGAAACTGGGAAGAGCATTCACAAAACCCACTTAGGTTTCGCCAATTAAAAGACCAAAATGATGGGCTCCGACACCGTGACAGGATAGTCACATCTTCCAGAAAATCAACAGAAAATTATCTACGACCGCTACAAGGGTTTCTTCAGTAGCCATCTTTTTCCGTCATATGAGATAAAAGAAGATGAATTTGTCGTTCCTGGTATTTCCTTTCAGTTCCAACTCACTATTATGTCGGTGAAGAATAGAACAATACCTGGTCCTGTAGGAATAAGACGAGAACACTTGTGGAACTTTCCGCCATTTCTTATCAGCACACTAACTTACCTCATCGCTCGTTTCTTGACCGAAAGCAAGGTTAACGATTGAAAAGTAGAAAACCCGCGTGATTGTTTGGAAAATGGGACTATCACGCATAGATAATTATAGCCCAATCTGCTTGTTGTCCGTCGTTTATAAACTCTTCATTCGAGTCATCCTGAAGAGTAATGACAGAGCAGAGGACGAAAGGCAGGCAGGATAACACCCAGGCTTCCGACAAGGATTATTCAGCACTACGGCTTATATCCACATGACTATTAGAATGATTGATGTTTTATCAGAGTAGTAGAGACCACTCTGTTTCGCTTGGATCAATTGAAAAAAAGCCTTTCATCCATTGAAAATTGAAGCGAACATAGAAGTCTTGGACAGCAAAGACGTCTCTACTTAGTACACAACGATTCTTCGTCAGCTATATTGAGATTCTTCCAAGCTTACCACGGCAACCCTCATTGTTTATAGTAACTTACAGCTTCGGAAGTTTTACTCTCATCTTTCAATGGAGACTATCACTTTATTCACCGTTCATTACGTTGCCATCGAGTAACACGTTGAAGCACTAAAAAATTTTCCATCAGCTGAAATTTTGTTTAAAGTAGCCCAAGGAGTTCTACTCGCTTTGAGAGTAGATTGAACATCATATCCTTCATTACGATTCCTGTGAAATTTCCTGATTTATAATCGGTGATCTTCGAGCTTTTTCTAATGAAATCCAGTTTTTTGTCTATTCCTTGTCGTTCAATCGCGTTACGTATTCGGTTCTTCTAAACTTCGACATTCTTGCCTATCTTCAAAATCCTTTTAGAGCACGAATGATATAGGGCAGTATCACAGAGGTAAATAATGATGGTGCGTTAAACAAATTATTTTAATAGGCTGGTAGCGAGAGAGGAGTGTTTGATAGACTGACAACGTAATGTAAGGAGCAAATGTGGCTTAGAATACCATAACAATAGTACAATGTCGTCAATATGATAGGGCATACGTGTAGAATTGTAATAGCTATGACATATCACATCGTCGCTGCTTAGTTGGAGAATAATAAACGTCATAAGCTACAGTTATCAACGCTGCCTATATTCATGGAAAGCATAATGACCGAAGTGTACTACTTGAGGTAGAGCAAAACGATCAGTTCTACTATATACGATAGTATCAAAGATGATTTATGCAGTTACGATAAAGCTATGATTTTTGGTTAGAAGTAAGTTTGCGAACATGTAGGTATACGAGTAATTGTGAATAAAATCTTGGAACATACCGTAATCAAAAACCAGAGCTGTACCATTTTTGGAGTGATATTTTCTTGCATCAACTGTTCCTTTTACGCGGCTTTCATCTGTTTTTGTTTGCTACACTTTTCATTAATTTTATCACTGAGCCAATAAAAGTTCTGTTTTGTTTGGTTGAAAACATTTCCTTTCTCCACATGGTTGTATCATTGCGTGAATGTACCCTGCCTGCACTTCCGGGATACATACCGACCGATATCTGTTGAGTAAAATTTTCCACCTCACCGAACAGAGCTATTTCTTTGACTATTAGTAATCATGCGATGGAGTAAATTTCAATGGATCCAACAATGTGGCCATTTCTTGGAATATCCGTCTCATTACACTGTAGCAGAGAGAGTAAGATCAATAACTACAACTCTGGCGGTCTGTTCACCGACTAATCTATTGACGGTGTGGAGAGGCAATTGATCGATGACTTGCCAGCTTAGACATGAGTGGTACAATTTGTTATTGAATTAGAAATTTTTCTTCGTTCTGAGGAAGGCTCTAGATAAAGCGATTGATTCAGATACTGCAAAATTTTTCTACAAGTTCATATGCTTTTTGTGCCTCCAGCGAACTCGGCGCGTGTTAAAAATGAAGATGCGCGAGCGATCCAAAACATAGCTTTTTTTCGAATTTTACAGCGCCATAAAAGGTGTTCAGACAAACCGGCTGCATAGGATTGTAGCCAAAAATTCAAGTTTCTGAATGAATATTAACAGACTCCTGCGAAAAATTCTTGTAAGGCCATTGAGGTTGAATATTTATTTATTTGTGCCGAGAAGCATCTTTGAAATTAATACGATTTTTTAGGACTTCTCACAAGTTTTGGCACTAAAATGGTAGGCAATAAGTGTCTGACAAAAGTGATTAAAACTGTTCAATAACGCTATTCAATGTATGCTCCATCAGCCAGAACCATAGAAAACTCTCAATCCTCCACGCAAATAATTGATGTCTAAAGGCCTCCTCCTGCTCAGGAAGTGCTCCAGCCACCGAAAGAGGTGATGGTCACGGAGATAAATCGGGTTGTATGGCGGATGATCGAGCAACTTGCAGATCGTGTGTCAGTCAACTTCGTCATTGGGCAGACGTCCGGAACGCAGCTGATTCTTCAAGATGGTGTTGCCGGCGACAAATTCAGCAAAGAGCCGAAACGCTATTCGCCTAAGCACAAGTCCTTGAGCTTTTACACGGTATGATGTTTTCGCAAACGGTGTGTGCACCGCGTACCAATTTGTAGTCGTAAAAGATCAGATTGCGAGAAAGGCTGTCTTCGTTGAGCTACCATGACGCGGCAGCTATGAACAGATTTGGTAACAACGGAAGACTCAGAAAATTCTGCACAAAGCGGTATTGATTTGTTCCCACAGAAGTGGCAGAAATATATTCAGACTGAGGGCGCATATTTGAAATAGTGTTCTTGAGCAGTTCAACTGATTCTAGTTGATAAATCTGGTGTTTAGTGCGTTAGTGTCAAAACTTATGAGAAAACCTAATAGCACACATATCAATGTACTTCGTGCATGAAAAATCGCTGTCAGATCTGATCTGCATTTGTCAATTTTTGTTATTGCGCTTCAATTGCTTTGAAGACGATGTGGATTTTCTCTTTAATGCATGAACTTTCATTTGACTGGTTGGTTTCAGAACAAGGAAGAACGCTGTAGCAGTTTTCTTCTACACCTGATCTAGTTATTTATCCTTTTACCATCGATGAAAACACGAAGAATTTTGCTGATAGTGATAAACTGACCAGCCCTTAGCCTGCATATCTTTGCCATTCTATTTCTCAAAGATGCAATCATTTGGCTTTTTTTTTGAAGTAACAACAATGAGAAAATGTATTTTTTACTTGAACACTACATTATTGTTTATTTCTTGCTCTAACCCTCATACCCAACATCTCAGGCTTCATTGAACAGTGCGAATGCAGTCATGCTTGTCTATGGACGGCATGCCTTGTGCTGTTTGAATGAGTTCACATGTTTAGGCTATTTGAGGCTTTCCTTTAGTAGATGTGACACACTTCCCACGTTCATTATTAATAGGTTGGAGAAAAAGTTCTGAGAAAATGCTTGTCAAACATTTATTTATGCACCTACTACACCCGAGCAAAAAGAAAACTAATGGTCAAAGTACTCCTTCTCAACTTTAAGGACTTCCTGCCACTTCTTCGGCAGAATATCCATTCCGTGAGCATAATATTGCGATTCGCCCCAAGCCAGATTGATGCGATCACTTACCACCGTTGCATTTGAATTCAACTGCCATTCGTGCATCATCAGCGACCTGATTTGCTTGCTTGTTAACTCCATCTTGAAATAAGTAGATGAATTATATAACAACCATTGTGGGAAGGGCGGGCTTTCAAATGAGACCGCTAGAAACGGCCAGCACTCAAAAGGTTTACAAGTATTTTCTCAGAAGTTTTTCGAAACCTATCACATTTTAAGGCACTGCGTTGGTGAAAGACAGAAAAGATAGGTAAAAAAAAAAGTAAACAAACTTTACTGACACTTGCACGAGTATCCATGATGCACTGATTGCATGGATCATACTTGAGATATAAGAGGTAAATATATGAAATTAGTCTTGAGTATGATGTTCTTTGATCTGGACGACTGAATGGGTATTGGATGAGAAGCTTCGCTCTCTCAACACTGCTGTCCTCTAGCTCTCAGACAAACCTCATGTAATTTTGATATAATCACAAAAGAAAGCTCTACATTCCTATTCTTATTTATTCTTCCTTCTCAAACCGCGATCAGTTTTTTTTTTCACCGTCATTAAATCTATGGCAGAGCCATCTTACCACCTCAGCCATAACGCGCTTGTAAAACGTCATCTATTCAGGGTGCGTAATAGTTTTGCCATTTTTTAAGATGTCCGACAAGAATAAAATTGTGGATAAACAAATGCATCGATTTAGTCAAAGGAATAATTACGTTTACTATATTAATAATTACGGCAAAAAACAAAGTGGTCGAGAACTCTAACGTTTTTATTACTTTTTCGCAGTGTAATGATGTTTCATGAATACCTAAGCAAATTGAGTGTTGTTTAAAACTACGACCTCAGACGGGAGTTGAACCCGCGTTTCATCCATACTGGAAACGCGTGCTACCACTATACCACCGAGGCGCATTTGCTCCATTTGCTGCGTATTTTTGCTCACTACTTAATTCGCTCAGGTATTATGAAACATCATAACACCGCGAAATCAGTAAAAATACCAGAATTCTCGAGTATTATATTTAACATTGGCTGTCAGCTCAATTGGGTTCAAAAGCGAAATCGCTTACCCGACCAAACCTGTTAAGGGTTGGTGGCTGACTGCTAACGTGGAGAAGTTGAAGAATGAGTGGTGACGCAAATGTGCCTCGGTGGTGTAATGGTAGCCCGAGTCCCCAGTATGGATGAAACGCCAGTTCGACTCTTGTCTGAGGCCGTGTTTTTGCTTACCACTCAATTCGCTCAGGGGTATATGAAAAACAAAATCTTGTGCAAATTAAATACTGCGACACGTTGATTCATATGATTCATAACTTGAGCACACTTGGGAATGGACAAAAAAAGGGCAGTTTCTGGACTAAAGTTGAACAAAGAATTCAACAAAATGATCAGTATTGATAAAAGAAATATCGACGCTAATACTAACAAAGTACAAAATTGACAGAAGTTTCTAGGCAACCCGTAAACATTGCAAAGATTTTCGTGAGCACTATTTCATCTGAAGTAAATGTTAAAGCATTTTTTTTTGAAGTGAGCGCAATCTTCTGAGTAAATAGATACAAAACTTATTTATTTAAGGTGAAACAGTTTCATTTGAGTGAATTTTTCTATTCAGTGATTTTTCTTTATAATCAGGAAGCAGTAAAGTCGTCAATTTTGTATTTTGCCAATTTTCGTAATAATATAGCATCTTTCCATCAATTTTGCACTTTTCTTGATCTCTTTGTTCAATAGTATAAAATGTCTTTTATTTCTTTGTCTAATTTCAGTTGTGCTTGAATTATGGATCGTAAAAATCAGTGTATTACAGTAGCTGAGTTACACAGGACTGGAATAAAAGAGGCCAACATTGTTAAAATAACCAGTTTTGACACAAAAAGTGTCTACATAACAGTGAAGAATTTCATAGAGACTGGAGGGATTGTGAATCCAAATAATAATTATGAGAATGTTGAGATTTGAGTGTGGTTTCAAGAAAACATCGGAAAAGGAAGGTACAGTATAGTGACGATACTAGCCAAGAGCAGTCAGTGTACAACACTGTCTAATCGGGGATATTTTCACCTGAAAGACAGTGTAAAATGTTTGTCGTCTCTTACTCCTAGTAAAGGGGACTGAACTCCCCGAGATGATTGGCTAGTGGCGACAGGTACCGAACGACTGACGAGACCATTAAAGTTGAAATACGTGTATCGGGCTCTATAAATCAGCCCATTTAACAGACCACATGACATGTTGGCTCAAATAATTTCGTGATATATTGGAATTTGAGCGCGGTCTTAAGAAAACGCTCGAAACGAAAGGTCTGAGAATCGTTTTCAAAAATCGTCCTTTCCACTGCGTTTAAAAGCTTTTGGAATACCCGTTGCCAAATTCAACAAAATCCGGAGCGTTTGAGGCGCAAATTGTCAGTGACTCAATATCAGCGAGCGAAGCACCCGAGACATTGTCAAAAATGTCAAAGTAACGCGTAAGTTTGCCATAATGACTACCTTTCTTCATATTCGCTGCTTTTATCTAAGAAAAAAGTCTCAAACTGCAGTTTTCGGAGGAAATCAGTTCGGTAATAAGATTTACGAGATTGGTCAACCGTGCTCAAAGTGTGCAGCAGAAGAGCAGTGTACTCCGACAGAAGGACTCTGTATTGGTCGTGCGTGAAATATTGTGAATAATCAATAAACATGCAACTTTTAAAACTTGATTGGTTCATGTTTCAGTAATAACAAAGTTGAAGAGGAGCATTTTCTTATAGTGAAGACGATTCATAATTGGAATATTCCATTATATAGATGTCTGATTAATTCACAGCAGTCATAGAATACTAGCATGCTTTCCTTTCAATTCTTCTTCGTGTTATCGTCGTCCATAGTGTGGAACTACAAGAAAGATGATTACACATAAATATGTGTCTGAAAAATTCTTCAGAATCGCTAGCAGGTCCAATTGATATTATGTGATTTCAAAGTCCCCTTGTAAGCTCGTGTATATTCCTTGCTGTGATTAACCGAAGGATGCTATACTTTTAACGAAAAACAACGGTCTGATTTGACTCAGCAGAGTGACTTCTATACGAGATGAATTTGAACGTTGATAAATGCATATGTATTTTTTCGGTTCCTTCTTATTAGGAGGTTAGCGTTTATATTTCTCTGGGCAGAACTCCTTCCTCAGAATTCTAATACTCAGACCATAGTACAAGCTTCAAAGAACTAAAAATGTGTTTGCTTTTCAAAAAGCTCATTCGATCTTTTAATCTTCACTGGTATTTGATTGTGCTGGAACCACTCCTGACAGAGCTTTTTTTTACACTACTAGTAGTCATCTAAAAAAGTGATGTTTTCTGATACTAAAAATGTGCTTATTTTCTGAAGATACTGTCTAGCCGGGAAAATAAGATCGAGTTTTTCATTTTTGGTAACTTTGTTGCAGGCTATTCGACAGGCAAAGGCCGTAGCAGGAGCGCCGGGACCATCGCTATTTTGTTATTCAGTTGGGAATTTATTCTCTGTTTCGACAAAAGCTCTTGATGAACATGACTAAGGTACTATGTAAATTTATGTACGCATTGATGTACTTTTCGGCTTCTAGTGAATTATACGCGTGGAAAAACTAAAGGCAAAAGGCGAGTGTGAAACACAATTTTTGATCTGCATGACACAACGTTATGAAAGCGTATTTGAAAAAAACGGCGATGTATGGCTGTAGTGTCGAGTCTCAGCTTTCGAATGACTATTAACACTCCTGTGAAAATTGCTCTACCAGCGAATGAGATCGGTTTTTCATCTGTTCTTGCAATCAGAAAAATCATTTTTTCTTCCCTCTTTAGGCTTTTTCTGCATCGTCTCTGTCTAAGGGATACTCAATATGAGGATGTCCCATAAATTTCCTCGTCTAAGCTTCGATTCATTTTTTTTTTCAATTTCAAGTCAAGTGATTGCGAGAAGCTATGGCATTTTTGAAAATGCTCAACTAAGTCAGGTACAACTTCATGCCAATGCTTTCCATTCACATGAACAGGCGACGCAAAGCGATGCTCGGTTAAACACCCTACGCTCTGGTATCTCATGCACAAAATTATGCTCACGGCATTCTAGGATTGGCAGGGCATGCCGTCAACGAAAGTGCTCGACATCAAGAAGACAATCAATGCCGGGTCGGCGGTGGACAACTCCGGACGTTGGCAGCAGCAGAGCATGAGGAGCGCTCGAAATGACTTAGTATCGCTCTTCTTTAGAAGAGCGCTCAGTCTCACATTGTAAATCCGACTTGCCACATGTAGCTGACTATTTGATCTTTTAAATAAATGGATGGGAAACTACTAAGAGTGTCGTAATGCTTAAGAAGCTATGAAACATCCAATAAATGAGATGTCTTTCGAGCAAGAAGGCCTTGTTGGGTTTGACCACTATTGGTGTGCTTTCCGCCTTAATTGACAATTTCGTCATGATTTTCAGTGAAAAATAAATAGTTCTGACGCTTCTGCCCTGAAAAGACAACCACTCGTAAAGTTGGTAACTCTTTCAAATTTAATGGTAAAATTTAGTAAATGGTAAAATATCAGTGAAGAGAGAAGTGTTATATGCAGTAGATTCGTCTTCTTCTTCATGAAGAGCAGGCGAAAAGTTGGTATTCTCTCCTCAAACTGATGACCAACGTCTCTATAATTTCCTCGTCCACAAAGTATAAACGTTGTATAGCCTCGAAGTTTTGGTATTCGATTGTTCCATAAGTCATAGAATTAGAGCAATGAACACCAGATTCATCAACAAAAATCAAATTGAATTACATGGACTTGTTATCGTTCACCTGCGCATTTTCTTGCAAGCATTGTGGAAAGCAACTTGCCTGTAGTTGCTTTGAAATGGAGCTGTTTTAGGATTAAATTCGCTTGCTACTCGTACAGGAATGGCGCTCAAGGAAAACTGCTAGCGAAGCGGCGCGCAAGGTCGATGGACCCTGGGGCAATGACACAGTTTTCGGAAAGGACGGCTATGAAGTGGTTCACTAAGTTTGAAGATGGAGACGTTGTGAGAAGCCCAATCTTGCTGCCTAAGAAGCACTACCCAGTGTGTTATGGAGCACGTTGACCGGCGGTAGAGCGTTCACAACATAACGACTCGTTGTCGAGCAGCCATTGAGCTGTGACCACAGCAAGCGGCCTTGTAAACTAAAAGTTACTGTGTTGTGCTCACAACAAACTGCCAGGTAGGCAGACAAAGAATGTAAAGTTCTCATAGCTCACTGACTCAGGCTCAACCATGCAGTGTTATTTGTCAACGACGCGCTTCCGTGCGGTCAACCTGCACACACTAAAGATTGCTTGACCGCCAGTTGGAGAATTTTCGAATTCAAGTGAACCATGTTAATGTATATTGTATATCAAGGGAATCATATTAACTGCTCGGGCATGAGCCAGTGTGCTGCTAACAAGTCACATTAGCTGCACAATAACGACGAGGTTTATCGTGAGCACAGCAGATTGGTTGTGTATCGGGTCACCATGCTATTGTGATTACAACAGATCACCTTCTTAGCTATGTGCCAGCCAGTACTAAGCACATGACATTTACTGATTAGGCGCCACTGAATGATTTGGGCGCATTAACATGAGCTTCTTGACGGCGAGGAAGGGTGTCGTGAATGCGAACTGATGCAAGCACAAGAGGATGTCTATTTACTTATCTACCAGTCTGCTGTGAGCATTTCACATAGGCTAGTTTATTGCGGTGGAACGGACTGTTAACATGTCACATTGGATGCTTGAGAGCGATTCAGTGAGTTGAGAGCACTACACATCTGCTGCTAACTTGCAATGTAGTCTGCTGTGATTACGCCTCATTGGCTACTTAACTACGAATCGCTGTCTTGTGAACACTGCTTGAAGGCTGCTTGACCACGTGTCGATGTGTTACTATTGTGATGTATCTACTTGCTGCTTTTTCTTATGTACATTTATAAAGTTATTTGCTACTCTGATATACGTTTATTTATTGGTCCGGTGAATGCAAAGATCATGGCAGAATCTAGGTGAACAGAAAGAATGATCTTTGTATCACACGTTCTGGAATGGGGGTAACTTTAACAAGAAAACCTTTTTCTCGCATATAAATTTGACGTGGAAAAAGCTACATATCTTCTTGACCATTGTTTCTTGAATGTGTAGGTGTTGAAGCAGCTTTTCTCACTCATCGTATACCATCTAATCTGTGCTCTTTG